CTAAGCCGGTAGAAGGCGTGAAGCCCTCGCAGCCGCCCAGCGCCAGCCGGGAGGCAGCGGGGCCCGGTACGTGCGTGCAGAGGTGTCTGTCGAGGCGCTGCTGTGCGCGGGCTCTTTGTTTTGGAGGAGTCGGCTACGTCCGACCTTACTGATTTTTAAGATAGCTAAAGTTTGGGAGTATTCTAGACCTATTCCCCCCCATTTTAGCTGTCTTTTATGAGATAATTAAGATACTAATTATTTAATTGTGCTGACATGTAAGTGAGCTCAAATTTTGCTGTTCTAAAAACGGGTTTTCAGAGACAGGCCTTTAAGGTAGAGAACTTCAGATGTAAAGCAGTGGCTTCTGAGCTTTGCAAGTACCAAAAGTCACGAGGCTTAGAACCAAAGCTATCTGTCAGCTTAACTTGTGTGTACAGCTGCTGTCATTGATGACACCAGACATACCTAGTGTGCGTTAGTAACAAATACTGTGGCCAACAAAGCGTGTATAGTGGGTTGGGGCATCACTTTCACTAGGAGATTCGGTCAGTGAAGAAACTTACGGAGGCTTCTTGGTGGGCAGAAGGTGTAAAGGTATGAACTGAAGGTACAAAGATCTGAGTGGAAGTTTAGAGGAGGAGGAGAGTAACGTAACTACTGCTGCATCAGAAACAGTGTCTGTCAGCCACAAACCTTAAAATCAAATGTTTCTGCAAGGTGGAAGCCCTTAGTAACACGCATTTGAAGTAGTAATGCCCTGAACCTGAGCCAGTGCAAGAGGGTCCTCCTGAGTTTGGGGAGGAAGTGGCGCTGTCCTTGCTGCTCTCTGTTGGTCCTGTCTGAAGCAGGATTAACATGTTGGGGATAGCTTTGTGTTTAGTCAACAGGATGATGCTCCTCTCGGGGTAGATTCTTTTTCCATCTGGAAATGTCCGGAGGTGAGGAAAGCCATGTGTGCTAGCTGGGAGGATTGTTCCTCTCTTGGTGCTGGGGGACTCTCTCCCCTCTCTTGTCTGGGGACAGTGGGACCCTCCAGCTTACAGGATTTGCACTGCTCAGCGACTTCCACAGCCTCACAGGATTCCTGTGCCAAATGGACAAGTTTATTGGAGCTTTGTATCTGCTGTGTCCAGTTCAGCTGCCTGATAAACCCATGCAACCAATCTGGAAGTCATTCAAAATATGGAAGCAAACTGAAGATGGAGGAAGATCTACTTTGTGTAGATTTTGCATTAGAAATAAATTGGGACTTCAGGTTTTCATGCCATTTAAAAAAAAAGAAGTGTTTTTGCCATTAAAAAGTTTGGGGTTCCCCCCCACGTACCACATAAAAGTTGCTGGGTTTTGTTTTTTAAGCAGGTCTCTGGCATGGTTTGGGCGCTTTCACATCTTATTTAATCATAGCTAAAGATCTAATAATTAAAAGCTGCATCTAATTCAGATACAAAATAGAAATCACTGAAAGACTACAGTTTTTTTTTTCTGTGTGTTTAAAGAGGTACTTTCTTTAGGAAATGGGTTATATCTAGCAAGTCAGCTCCTCTTCTGGTCCGGTGAATGGTTTGGTGCCTGTTGGTAAGCTGCTGGTGTTTGTATTGAGCGGGCTGCTGTGGCTTGCACTGGAGTTAGGCAAACCTTGTGTTAGTATCTCGTCTGGTCTTTGAGAGAAGTCGTTTTGAACCATTCAAAAATAATTGGCGTGATAATATCTTGGGCTGGGTTTCTAGGAATTTTTGCTTAGAGTTCTGGGGGAGGAGTCTTCTCTCCCCACTCACTTCTCCAGCGTGTTTTCCCGATGTGGTGTGTTCTCCTCAGCCGGTTTCATAGCTGTTATCTTCTAATGAAAGCTGGGTTTTGGGAACTGGAATCACTGAGTTTAAGCTATTGCTCAGGCGAGCTGGCTGAGTGGCTTCCCCTTGATGGACCGAAAGTCTTCTCGCCTCTAAAATATGGCTAATGGTTCTCCCTTATGTCTGTCCTCTAAGGCATTGTGAAAGCTGATTACTGCAGTGTGCTTGGATACTGCTTGATGAAATGGTACTTACAGAGAAGATAGTACCCTCTTGATGAGGATATGAGTTTCTTTAGAACTAATAGGGTACTCATGTTAACTCTCTAGGGCAAGAGAGAGGGTAGTATTTCAGTATTAACAGTGAGACTTGTTAAAGTGGTTTGTGGGCAACCAGCTCTAGGTGTCCCTGCTTGAGCAGGGGGGTCAGACCAGATGACCTCCAGAGGTCCCTTCCAACTTCAGCCATTCTGTGATTCTGTGAAGTCGGCACAATGTTCAATAGTGGATAGACTGGCATCTTTAGAAAAAGTGAAGATACGTGAATGAAATGCAATGTGAAGGTGGCAGGCTAGACGTGATTTGTCAGCACTGCTAGAAAGTGAGTAGTCTGCTATGATTTAAATACTTAAATAAAAATTCTTAAAACCCCTAAACAGTTGAGGCACTGGATGTTGTCACAGCACAGTGAGCTGATTCTTTAAGCTTGAATATAAGCTCCAAATTCTTAAAATTGTTCCTCCAGCCAAGCATGTTAAAATGGTCACAGAAGGAAAGGGAAAGGAGAAGGAAACAAGTGATTGTATGGAGTTAAATGTCTTTTTTGCAAAATGGAATCTCTTCATACTTTCAGAGCATTTTATGATAATGCAAAACTAGCTGACCTTTTTTAGGATTATTCTTCTAAAGAAGAATCCTACTGTTGTACCAAAAGTAAAAAACTTACATCACAATAACATTGAACAGCTTCGATTTGGAACCTAGATCTGCCATACTATGTGAAGTGCAAACACAGAATAGAAGGTCTCT